GCGCGTCCATGCTATCAGTTAACACATATGGATGTGTACATAACTCAAGGCACTGGGCCAGCCAAGCCTTTAAAGAAATTGGGGGAGGGGGGAGAACCAGGGATGCAAAAAGGCAGCACAGACACCACTGCTCATGCACTGGATTTTTCAAAGCCCCCCTTCCTACAGCAGCTCCTTATTTCCATATACCCACCCCTAAGAGAGAGCCACTCCTCAAATTAGGGTATCCTAAGGAGCAGCATCTGCTCCAATCCAAGTAAGGAACAAAGGAGTCTTCCAACATAAGGTGCATGCATGGAACTCCCAAGATCCCAACCATGGCTGAAGTCTACAGAAGGATTTAATTTTAACACTGGAGTGCTCCAGGTTCAGAAGCAGGAGCAAAGTTTCATTCGTGCTTTGGTGAGTAAAGATGATGTCTAGGCACATTATCCTGGGTCCATGTTGGCAACCAACATAAGCCAGTTTGTGCTGAAAGATACTTCTGGTAATTATTTCCATTTAAAATATGGTCAAATTTAAATACAGGATCTTATGACACACTGAATAATAGCAAACCCTTAATCAAAAAGTTTGTGTCTATTGTTGTATATTGGCATCACTGTAGTTGGAACCGAAAGAATTTCTGGCATTTTGCACAGTATCAATCTGAGCAGCATAATGCTACCGGTAGCTGTTAAATCTATTTCCTTTCCTCTTTCAATAAATCAGATTTTGCAGGCAACATGCAAATATACAGATCAAATTTCTATTAACAGCATTGTCATTTCTATTTGAAATTAAAGTAACAAATCAAATTAGGAAAGTTATGGACCGACATTATCAAATAAGGAAACTCCCTCCTATACAGCTACCAAAGAAATGCTTGATTCAGCAAAAGCGAAGCATGTAAAGCAACATCGTGTGTGCCTCCCTGGCTAAACCTATAACTGGATGTCAGCAGTGCTTCAAATACAATTCCAAATTGTGCTTCAAAAAAATCAGGACTCCAATAGCACCTTTTCTGAGTAACACGTTTTATTATGTCATAAACTCTTGTGAGTTGCAGCTCACTTCATCAGATGCACAGGTTACATGTGAGATAAAGCTGCTTCTGCATAACCTGTTTTTTTTCCTCTCTTCCCACCATCTCACCACGATTTAAATCCTGTATCAATCTAGCCACTGTATGCATCAGATTAAATAAGATGCAGCTCACAAAAGCCAATGTCTTTTAATAACATGTGATACTCAAAAAAAGTTTCTACTAGGGCTCTCCTGAGTTTTTGTTACCATAGACTAACATGGCTTTCTTCCTAAAAATGTATTACAGAATGCACGGGAGAATGCACCTTAGCACTCTTGAAAGCATCTGCATCTTTTTCAAGACATCACACACCTGTTATACGATACAGACAACAGCTGCTTTAAGGAGTTGTAGTCAAGGGCAATGTTTCTCTCCCCTATGCATTTTCAAGCACTTTTGAAATTGAATCTGAAGTGCTGCATATAGCCCTATAAAAGATGGACAAAAGAGGATGGCATGAAGTTGTTCAGATTGTTCTTAAAACTGAGAGCAATGCATACAGCACCAGCTAATCAACCCTGTCAGTTTGGAAAGACATTTGCCTGTTGAGATGGGTAAGGAACTTTAATATAATACACCCTTAATATCCCCATTTCCAAAAGATGGGTAACAGTTTCAGTGTTTTCTGTCCTTAGTCATCACTACCAAGCAGTTCTGTGGACAACTTTTACCTGCATGTGTATTTTGCTTGTTGGGAGATCTTGGTGTGTTTTAATTCACCGGACTTCTGAAACAATTGGTTAAAGTAATACATACATGGAACAGATGAATCTCCACTAGGTGGGCTAACATTCCACATATCCCAGGCAGGCACAGGAGTTAAACGTTTATGAAACAATACAGAGAAATCACAGAGGTGTTGTTGATAATACAAAGAATCATAGAGTCTAGATTCTACAAATGCACTTTAGATGGCTTCAAGAGAAGTCAAAGCCTATAACTTTTTGAAGATAGTTACACATTTTCAATGGTGCTGATGAAACCAGATGTGGCACAGTATTTGGAATCATGTTTATAGTCTGTACCAGTATATATAGCTAATCAAGGACCAGATAAAATTATATGGCAAAGAGAAAAAGGGACGGAATCTTCTATGCAAATATTCATTTTCAGTTGCCTCACATGGCCAAATAAAAATGACATATGAACTACCTGACCATAATGTGGTGCAGCACGGGCTTTACTGCTCGTTTAATTTTTATTAAATCACTGTTACTTTCAGTTTTGAATTTTCCCAAGCTAGATCTATTATTTTACATTTTACTATCACCTTTGACATTTGAAGAGTCAAACATTTTATATTTAATAAACTATGATGGGTGACAAAATATTTCTCAGATACAAAAAGCCTTTTTAAAAATAAGTCAGCATGCACATCTGCTAACCACCATTGTTACATTAGAAATTTACTTGCTATATTTTGATTCATTGTTATTCAAGACTGAGCTTACGTGCATGCCATAATTTACTAATTTTATAAATTCAATATTCTGATATTTCTTGTTTTAAAGCAAAATTTTAATCCTTTTGGAAGCAACTGACTCACCTCTCAATAAAAAAAAATAGAAGGATTTAATCATCTCTCCCGTAAACACCAAAGGCAAAGGAATGCTAAAGAAGATTTCCATTAGGCCCCTTAATAGTCTGTTTAAATTTCTAAATTGTTTCAAAGGTTGCTCTCTGGAGCAACGTGCTCTGTCTTTACTAGGTCCAGTTCATAAATGCTTAGTTTCCAATCAGTGCCTAAAGAAACGAAGAGGTATCTTTGTTTCAACTACAGAAAATACCACCGTGAACTGGATCTGCTGCCATCATGCCTTCTCTTATGTTAATCAACCTTTGGGACAGAATGGTAATCATTAAGTGGCCCAGCATATACTTTGCATACTAATATAGGTGCTATACATCTCTACGAAGGGCTGGCAAAGACCCATCCAATAACCACTAACCTAAACAGACCAGTACTTTGATTCAAAATGAGGCAGCTTCCTATGCTTATGAAGGCTTCTGTACCTGGCAAATGCAAGAGAACCTGAACCAGGAACTCTAGAGAGCCCTTATCTTGAGAAGGATATTTATTTCCATCTCTAGGCACAGAAAGGGGATGAAGCGACATCAAATATGGCAGTTTCTTTTTGCAGACACACTTCGTCTCTCCCATGGCATATGATAGACCTTCAGTCTACAGTTTGGGAATCACTATCTTTACCACTATCTATGGCTCAGAGAAACAATTTGCTGTGTTTCAATTATTAAGGTTGCACAATTCAGCTTTTTGGAATTAATTATCCTCGGTTCAAATTTTTTTTTTCCTAAGTATACTACAAGTAGTCCTCACCAACATAGTAGGTAAATGCAGCTACCATGTTTTCCCGAAAATAAGACCCGATCTTTTTTTTTTTTTTGGCCTCCAAAAGAGGCACCAGGTCTTATTTTCGAGGGGGTGTCCTTTCCACTTACCTCTGGCACCGACAGCCCTCCCCCCCAGCCAACCCACTTCTTCTGTTGGCCGAAGGAGCAGCTTCATTCTGCAGCTGAGAATGGAGCTCCGACCTGCATTTCGCAGTCAAAAGCCTTTCCGGAATCCATAGCTCGGTTCTTGGCTGCAGTGGACTTCCAGAAAGGTCTCTAGACTGGGAAATGCAGGCCTGGGGACACCGCAGAAGTGGGCCAGCAAAGATAGGCCTGGCTGCAAGATAAGTGGGTGTGGGGCACGTGGGGCAGTTCCACACCCCCACCCTAGCTTGATTTTTAGGTGTGTGCCTCGCCCCAAAACTAGGGCTTATTTTTGGGGTAGGGCTTATATTAGGCCCACCCCCAACAATCAAACTAGGGCTTATTTTCGGGGTAAGTCTTACTTTCGGGAAAACACGGTACTTTCTCACATGAGGCTATGAGGCTGAACTTGGGAGGGAAAGATTCCAGAAATTCTGCTGTTAAAACTTATAAAAGAAAAAAAAACACCTTGTTTCCATCTTTTGGAATTTTTACCCTCAGAATCAATTTGAATACTGTGCTGCTATCGACCCCAAACCTACGCATTGAGTCAGTAGTCCTTGTACATTCCACATTATGGTTACTAACTCATCCCTCCAGATAATTTATTTTAAGAATAAATGCAGCAATAACTAAATCCAGAGTGCTTATTAAAAAAAAACCTACAGACACCCAAACTGGATTTAAACAACATAATGAGGATCAAAACAGTGCCAGGAATCATGCAGTAGGACCCTGTTCTAACAACTTGGGGCAATATTGCACAGGTGTAGGAACTGCTTTCACCCACATGCAAAAACTTATTGCTACATTGCCCCCTCCCTCCCCACATCGGTTTATGTTATAGAATATACAAGTTCTATACAAATAACAAAGGAAGAAAATTATAAAAGGCAACCTGGTGTCATTATTTGGACCATTTAAACTTTCACAGTTTAATTTCAACTTTCAAACCAACTTCAAGATTTCTTCCTCTGGACTGCAAGAAGCAAAAGCTCTGCACAAGGAAAGATCCAATCGGGTACTTGCACAGCAGATGGGTACATGTTCTGTGTAAATTCCTCCTGGTGTAGACGCACAAAGGCAGCTGACTTTAATGGCAGAAATTTGGGGAGGAGTAACTGGAAGTATCAATTCCAATCTTTCCATCTTGTCTCCACCTACTTCATTTAATGATCATGAGCTCTTCTGCATGGAAGTCATCTGGGATGAATGGAGGACCTAATACTAGAGTTTGGCCTCTCACTGCTTGGGAAGATTTGTTCTTAAAAAAAGCTGTACAATATGTCTTTAATATAAAAACTAAGGCAGCTTTACAAAGTAGCTGGCTCAGTCAATTCCACTGTAAGGTAGAGGAGCAGCCTACACATTTCCTAATGTGAACACAACATGATTCAATGGTTTCCTTAAAAGCTTTATATAGCAAAGTTTTTTTTAAAAAAAAGTTTCATCACCAAAACATGGTGTCAACTCTACTGTCATATGAAATCTTTTCTAAACAATGTTGACCCATTTCCAAAAATCCATCATAATTTGTTAATTCCCCAATATGGAGTCCTCTTGCTCCTTGAATTTGCTGGATGTCCCAAGTCAGGAAGGGCTATTAGCTGCATCCAAAGAGATTGTTCATGGGCTTTGTTGCTAGAACCAAGTAAACAATCTTCATGGCCTCTTGAAGTCCTAGTCACTGCATTCTCCATATGAAGCGGACGATGTAATGCAAGAGGCGCAAAATTATGATCTGATGATTTACTCCTTGGTAATCCAATAAACCCTGAAAGAAGAAATAAAGTTATTTTAAAACAAGGACCTTTCATATGAGGCAGTAAAAATTATCAAATGTATAGGCCAACTTAGGAATTGCAGTACTAACACATACAGTAAAGTACTTTGAATAACTTTAGCAAAGCAGAAAGGATAAAGTGTTAAGCTGGCCAATAAGACAGCTATTAGGGCAGAGGTCTCCAACCTTTTGGGAAACCAGGTACCGGTTCCGTGGAAAGGTTTTTCCGCAGACTGGAGGGTGCGTAGTTTTGTGTGCTGCCTGCATCTCGCAGATGGGGCTTTGCTTGTTTGTGCGGACCAGTTGCTGGCATGCTGCAGCCCACGGACCAGGGGTTGGGAACCCCTGCATTAGGGTACAGCTAGGATTTTAACAAAGCAGGATCTCTTATTGATTTTTGAGGTTTTTCTATTGCAATCATATAGACTATATTTTTATCTTTACATCTCACAGAGAATAATGTGCATGTATGACAAAGCTTTAGTCAGATTACTATATGAGTAGGTTTTGCATGAACACTAAACTTCTCTTCATTAATAAATGGATAACGTCTACCATTTGTTTTTAATAAATGATATAAACAAGAAAATATGCCTTTTCATGCTTCAATTTTTCTTTTTCTTAGCAGGCAATCTTCATGTTTTAAATTTAAGCATAGAATTGCTAGCTGATAGCACAGTATAAATTTGTGTAAATCAAAATTTTGAAAGGATCAGAATATAATGGCAGGATCTTGCTTCTAGAAAGATCCAGTTGTTGTAGTGTGCTTAAGCCCCTCTAGAGCCTCTGTAAGCCAAAAAGGGACTGGATGGCCAAATAACCTGACTGAGCTGGTGTTAAGACAGAGGGGGACTATTGTTATTTATTGGCTGCAAATCAAATACAGCATGGTTGCTATTTATGAATTGAGTTTCAAGTAAAAAAAAGTCATCTTCTACTATCTCTACTTACTGGAATCAGAAAATAAATAGTAGTAACTGGTCTAATGTCATGGGTTATAAATGCTGTAAAAACAGAACTCCATACATGATGAATGGTAGAGTATATGTTGGAAGGGATTATTAATCCTTAGCCTAAATTGTGTGCATCTCATATTCAACTGAATATATTTGCTTTTGGCCTTATAAAGTGTAAATAACAATATTATACCTCAATCCTAAAGTCATTCTTTCTGAGACATGTATTTTATTATTATTTTATTTATGGTTCATACAGAGCAAGAGTCCTAGTGGCACAGAGTTTAGAATGCAGTATTTCAGGCAAACTCTGCCGCAGTCTGAAGTTCGATCCTGATGGGGCTCAAGGTTAACTCAGCCTTCCATCCTTCCAAGGATGGGGTAATATGCTGACACTGTAAACTGCCCAGAGAGCACTGTAAAACTCTATAGGGTGGTATATAAGTCTAAGTGCTATTGCTACTGCTATGTTAATGTGATGCAAAATAACTTGGGGACATTCAGCAAACCATGGAAAAAAATGATTAACTCATAGCATTTTGTATTTCTAGCTAATTCTTTTTGCTTATGTCCATTTTCTGTCACTGATTGATGTCCTCGTTGTCTGCCTCAATCATGCTTGCACAACTCATTGTAATGTATTCATTCAAATGGATAGAACAAAAGCCCATTTAACATGCTCTAAAACTCCTGTGAGACAAGAAATTAACAAAGTAAAAAAAAGCATCTATAGACAGCCTAATTTTCCTCATGAATGGCATTTTTTTGACATTTCACCTTTTATGTGAAGAGAGACTCCAAAATCCAGTTTTCTGATTCCAGTTGACTTAGAAATAAAGGCAGAAGAAAGTCTTGTGAATGAATTGTATCTTTAACACTGTGTTTGGAGTAACTGTTACTATATTTAATCTTGTTCTGTGCTGCTTAATGTGAGGTTTGTTACCAGAAACAAATGGTATATAATTTATGAGATCTGGTAGAGCACACAGAAAGGGGAAAAAAACAGGAGATGCCAAAACCAAGATGGTATTCTCAGAACATAATTGTGTCATTGTTTAAATTGTTGACTCTTGAAAATGTTACAGAGATTCCCAAAGGATGAAATCTGGTAGCTATAATTTATCTGAGAAACCAGTGATTTGGTGTAATGTATGCCAAGAACCTAAATAAAGCTATTGGCAATCTGTGCCAGAGCTAATGAACTAGTGAACCTCCAAATTATTCTCAAGTGACTCCACCTGTATAAACACCCACTGCTTTTTTGAGTATAAATACATGCAGATACACTTGAAAAGATGCAGTCATGTAAGAAAAAGAAGGCACACACGTTTGTGTGCTGCCTTGACTTCAACTTCCACAAGTCTCCTTGATGAAAGGAAATAAAGCAGATAATCCAGGGACAATCAAAGCAATTATTTCTCTTTCAACACTTCGTTTAGAAAAGGTTGTTTTAAACTAATTAAATACAATTAGCATATGGATTAGAGATTTTAATTTATTTGCATCAAACAAACACTAACAAGTCTCAGAAGACCAGCTACAGTACATACAATATCTTGAAAAACCTCAGACTAGTAGATTTATTGTGGTGTAAGCTTTCCTGTAGTAAAGCCTATTCAGTCAAATGCAGTCATAAATCTGTTTCAAAGATCTTGAGTCCCCTAAAAGCTACTGCAAAACTGGGAAGTTATTAAATTCATGGAAAGTAACTATAATTATACTTAATTCAGATTAAGGTTAAAAAAGATTGGTTTGCTGCCTATAGTCATTTCTTTGTCCTATCCACCAGATTCTTGCACCACTGTAGTTGCCTTTGCTTTAGCTGGAAAAAGTCAGATGGTGCAGCTCACCTAAATCCAAACTGTTTACATCTTTCTTCAGTTTTCAAGCCAACCAAAGATAAAATATTTTTGATATTTCTAAAAACCAAGCAAGGGAAGGACAGCAGCAGCAAACTCTTACTCAATCCACCTGACATAATGGGATTCTGGCAAGGGCTATGGCACTTCCATCCCTACATAATAAGATGAGAGGAAATCAGTTCATGCCTGCAATTCCTCTAAGAGCATTCTAACAACAGCTTGTGACTTTTACCTTGGAAGTACAGGATTCTTCCAAAATTAGCATTTCACAAATTTACTTTCAAAATAATACTTATTTTGGCTTGTTGTTTCAAGGAATTACTATATTGCCTTTCAAGGCAAACTTAGCTGCAGTATCAATCATAACAGAGAGAATGCATAGGTTCCAGGGGTTATGTTTTTCTCCATTGCTAATTATGGTTAAGCAGATGGAAAACCACAAAAGATGGCAATGTCTCCAAAACCTGGCACAAACATCAATTCATAAAGAATACAAAAAGCATACTACTCCAACAAAATCCCCCAAGAACCAATATAGATGTGAAATGACAGGCAGTCTCTATGAAAGGGCAGAAGCAGACATGCCCCTTCCTCCATTCCACATATGCACTGGTACTTTGCATAGACTTCTCGTTTGTATGATGTAGCTTTTCAAAGGAGAGGGAAGAATACAAGAGAAACATTTCTGGGGTGTGCTTATGGGGATGCATAATGAAATGCACAAAAAAAAGGTATGCTCTCTCTATGGAATCTACAAAAGACAAGACATTATTCTGTGGTGGAAATTGTAGCTACAGTACTTACAAAACAAAGGTAAGTCAAATGACTGCAGTGTAAGAGATTGATTTTCTATATTTTATTTTTTTCCCCATCTGCCAGAGACTTGTTAAAGCTCAGTAGATCTAGAAGAGTGTTTTGCATGTAGTAGCTTTTTTCAGTTTAATGAAAAGGGGTCCCACCTTAGTGTGTCCATAGTCTGTGTTCTAAAACTATTAAAATATAGTAAAGCACGTCATGTTTTCCCTAAATATCCACAAAAGAAAACATGTGTGGGGGAGAACTTTGTTATATAAATAACAGTATCAAAGCTGTTTAGTCTGTAGAAGAACTAGGAAACTGGCCTCAGATAAATTTATCTCAGAAGTCAAAGTTTAAGATTGGAGATTAAAGGATATCATCTCTTGTCTGTTACAAATAATTGACCATCAACTCTAGAAAAAGAGACAGGCTAATTTACTACAATACAGTGCTCATTTTTAAAGAAAGACTGAATTCAACTGTTTTAAAAGTCTAGCCAAACGTCTTCCTTTCACTAAAGCATATAGTTGACATTTGTTATGTAACTACAACATACCAAAACAGAGGGCAGAGTCCAGATGCTACTTTAAGCTACTTGGCAATTTCATTCAAAACAGCAAGTACATCTTGATGTTTGAATACTTACATGCACAGGGCCATTCATCTTAGTTCGTGCGTCAAACATTGGTCCAAATTAAGTAGAAGGCCCCAGCTAACCACACCTTTTAAAATATTTGGATTATTTTAAATAACAGAGCTATGGGATTAAGGGCTGAACTGAAATAAAAGCAAATGGCAAAAAGGGGGCCAAAATATGCAATTGAGATGAAATAAGCAGCTATAATAAGAAAGATGGACAAGGAAATGACAACAGAGACAACAGACCAAGGTGTAAAATTCTAATGAAACTGTCAATGAAATCTGATTTCTGTCCTGGAAACACTTGTCTGTCATGAAAGTGTGACATACTGTACAACTATATTTTGAGACCACTGAGTGACATTAACTATACGTCTCTTGTATTATTGCAGTATCTCTTGAGAACATGCTGCTTTTGCCAAGATCATCACAACATGAACTTTATTGATGCTTTAGGAGACTCCAAGGAAGTATGTACTTGTTTCCTCAACTTAGCAGTTTCCTAAGGGGTTAATTTCTGCACACTTGTCATTTCCATAAAGCTTGATGTAATGCAAGTGTCTGCATGGGCACAACAGTGGAACGAAGAAATATCCAAATCAAAACAATCTGCAAGTTCAATCCAGGGAAGCAGGTGCATAGGAAACAAAAACAGACCTTGAAAGCCACTTGCTCTTTCTGAAGTCTCCTGTGAATTTACTATTGTTATCAGTTATAACATTTAGCTGCACATTCTACTCAAGTTTCCAGATATGAATGAGGAAACTAACTGTCTAAAATCCAATTCACATATAAACTAAATGACTCATCATAACATTTCATTACAGAACACCCTTCTGCACGTTATTTTCGTGTATGACAAATCAGGTGTGTGATGCTTTGCCAGCTGAACAAGAAAGCTACATAGTCCAAAATAAAGGCGTGAAAAACCGGAAGGAGCTAAATATAAAACATACTAAATAGCCAAAGAAGTTTAGCCAAAACAAATAGCTAATGGGAAGCAAAACAGTATTGAGGAAATATTTCTCAGGCTGAAAACAGCAGCCTGGAAAAAGTTGGTACATCATTGGTGCAAATTTAACCAGTGATGCAAATAACATGGGCAATAAAAGGAGAGAAATGGTAGTGGGAAGCTTAACCCTTTCTTACTTCCTTCCCCCTGCCCTTTGGTTGTGGTCCCTCATGGTGAAGATTCAGCATCACAAGCTCACCACCTTTCCTACGCAAATGTCTCCTTCCCCCTTCTCATGTATTCACTTTAAATAGTCAACCTATGAATGCTTCACAGACACTGTAGGAAAACAAAAGAGGAGTCTATTCAATGCTGCTATCACAAATCAGTTTATAGTAACAATATGTGAACTTCTCAATAGGAGTATTAGGTCTGTCAACCTAAAAGCCAAAGACCCACACCATATACAAGGACAGCAAAAGGACAGGATGATTGCCATAGAAATGGAAAAGACATTTAAGTATAGAGGAAGATAAACAGGTTTATACGTACATTTAAGCAGTGCTTTTTTTTTTATAAAAAAAAAAAGGTGCCGGAACTCACACACGTCATACAACCCGCCTTGCCTACCCTACAAGGTTTCATCCAAAAAAGGTGCCGGAACTCCGTTCTGGGTGTTCTATGAGAAAAAAAGCCCTGCATTTAAGACATACATATCTTGCATATACAAATTTTCAGCAGAAGGAACCAAGCTGCAACTGCTATTTGTAATTGGACAATATTAAATTGGACACATTGAAATCCAAAAAGGATCTACTTATGTATGAGCCAAAGCAACACAGAGCTTCTATCTATTCAAAGTTGCCACATACAATACAAATTTCTCATACAGTAGCAGAATGCATGGAACTATATTGTTTGATTCTCATTACTCTTAAAATAATTAGAATCATCCACAAACTCTTAATTACACAAAATTATGATCCATAAGCTATTCCATTTACAAAACGCACCAAGAACCAATAAGGAACCTATCTCTGTTTTGTCTCTGAAAGGCATTTATCATTTTATTGGTCAAAATTGCCATTTTTCTCCTTTAATTGTAATCCACCTTACTAATATTTCACAACTCACGCATTTACTATCATTTTACCTCCATACCAGAAAAACATTTTGTGCTTTAACTTCTTAATATAGGGCTGCTGCTAGAATATTGGGAAGAAGAAAAAAAAAGCACCTTCCATTTCATATTTCCTTTGATGCCGTCCCCTTCCCCAATACAGTTACAGGATACTAAAACTCAACCATCACGTGAACAGAAACTTCTAGAACAATTTGTTCCCTGCTTGTTCTTCATCTATAGAACCCTGTTCAGAATTTTATGGAGAAAAAAGGGAATGGGTACATGCAATTTCAAAATTGTGAACTGAATATTATTTCTCAGAATACATATTACCATTTTAATTGAAAGTTAGTACAGAGACACATTTATTTTACATTGCTTCTGAGGTTTCCTCTGGCACATTCAGTGTGCACCAGAAGAATTGGTGCATGCCAAATTGAATTGGCAATAAGGTGCAACGCCTTGGTGAAGGAAGATGCATTATTCCTGATTCCTGTGACACTAAGCACAGCCACTTACACAAGCATATGGAAGATTACTTTCATTATGCTTTTGCCCCCACCCCTCAAAACAGAAACAGATAGCGTTTATCCTGCTGAATGTAGAGTGTTTCTCATGTTACAATTACTGGTAACATTAATTGTATTATGATCACACAATTCTTTTTTAATGGGACTAACAATATATAATGCACTACTTTTACTGTTAATATTTAAACTATTTTATATCTAAAATAGCTATTTATACCTAAAATAACTACGACCTCCAAGGTCTCTTCCAACTCTGTTGTATCTGTATCTCTCAGTTCCAAAGATAATCCTGTCTATTCTCAGTATTTCCACACATATCCCAACCTAATGCCCTTTCAAGTTTCTGTCATAGGAATTTATTTCATTCATCAGATGGTGAATATAATTTATAAATAGGTATGTGATAATGCAGTTGATTAGCCTTTGATATTTTCTTTTATAAAAAGCTTTCCTGTTTCTCCCTTCCACTACAGATACCAATGACTTACAAAGCATATCAAATTATCTCATACAATATATAATTAGCAATCACACAAAACAGAAGTACATTGTGGGGTTCATGCATTCAACACATGATGACAACCACTGATTTAAAATAGAAATTAGGAGCACTGATTGATGATAAGGCTACCAGGGCCATTAGCATGTACATCCAATCCTAGGAAAAGCTGCCAAGGCAGGCTATGAATTTGATCATTGCAATAGAAAGAGAAGTTGTGATTCCCTAGAAATCTTTCCACCTAAAAGAGGGAAAAAAAATCCCCATAGGTTTTCCCTCGTGAGTGGAAAAACATCTAGGGGACCCTAAAAAAGCAGCCCATGGAAAGGCTCAACATCCTCCTCTCTAAATTAGTTTGGTCCAATCTGCAAATTTCTGTAACTGCTTCAAATAAGATCAGGTTTTCAGTGCTTTTTGAAAAGAATCTGTGTTGTAACATTTCAAAAATCCAAGAAAACAGATAAAGCTAAAACACTACTACCTCATTATCCAAAGAGATGGTATGCCACTTATCTTAAAAAAAATTATTTTAAATTTGCTTCCATTTTCTCTTGACTGAACAGTTGCTCAGTTCCCAAAGTTCAGTTTAAGGAAACCAAGCTTGATCCTAGGTTCTAAACCATAAATTTCTCTTACCTTAGTTCAGTAGCCTAAACTGAATTCTACATGATCTCCTGCCAAATCCAGTGCTACTTGGTTTAACTTTCAATTCCCAGCAGGAACAAAAGTCGATGCCCCTTGCTGAGCTAATCTCGGTATGCTCCTAGCATTAAAAGGAGTTTTTACAACAAGTACAAATAGTCCTCGACTTATGATCATAATTGAGCCCAAGATTTCCATTGCTAAGCAAAGCAGCTATTAAGTGAGTTTTGTCCCATTTTACAACTTTTTTTGCCACAGTTGTTAAGTGAATCGGTGCAGTGATTAAGTGAATCATGCAGTCGCTAAGTGTATCTGGCTTCCCCCATTGATTTTGCTTGCTGGAAGACAGCTGGGAAAGTTACAAATGGTGATCACATGACCCTGGGACAGTACAACTGTCATAATCACATGCCAGTTCCAAGCCCCCAAATTTTGATCACGTGTGTACGGGATTACAGGAAGGCTGCAATAGTCATAAATGTGAAAAATCAGTAGTGAATCACCTTTTTTCAGTGCCATTGTAACTTCAAATTGTCATTGAACAAATGATGGTAAGTCGAGGACTACTTGTAAATGCCAAGCTAAGAATACTGGAGGAGGAAAATGAAATTAAATACTAATTTAATCCTTATACTGTTCTAAAAGAAACTGCACAGTATGCAGTTTCAAAAGGTTCATCAGTTCAGAGTTCAGTAAGTTATATCCTTTCTATGTACTACTGGTTTGCATATATATAGTTAATATATCACACAATGTAATTAAAGTTAGTTGATACAGATTGTGTAGAATACATACATACATACATACATACATCTGTCTGTCCGTCCATCTTTGTTGTAGTGATTGACACAGAGCCTATCATAAAACAGCTGTTTTCTTTTTCAGGCATCCATATGAGCCTGAAGTAATGTCTTTTTTCAGGTCTCCACTGAAGCCTAAAAAGATGCTTTAATTGGTAGTAGATAGATGCTGTGTATGCATGAGGTCTAAAGCACAGGCCTGCTGTATAAGATGTGTGTGCTCCTTGAATTGTAAATACACCAGAAATAAATAAGTGTGCTTTCAATATAAAAAGGTAAAGTATTCAAATATGTCATGTTTGGAATCATATATATTTGAGGACAACTCCAGTATTTTAGCAAATGTTGAAATATTTATATAACATTTGCTTTCCCTTACTTATCCTTTGTTTAAGTAGACAGAGCTACATCACTGAAATAAGCAAAAGAATTTAGAACAATAAAAATGTTGAAAGTTACCCTTCTTGGACAGTAGGAAGCATTAAATTCATCTCCAATACGCCGTAATTCCTGTGCAATCCATATTTCTGGCTGCATATCCTCAGGTATTGGCCGTGACTGCCATCTGGAAGCTGCATCGAAACAACACAATTTTTTTTTACATTTCCAAAAGATTTTCCATATCCATTCCCCACAGTGGCCATGCACTCAATGATTTTACTACTTATTTCTCTTAAAGCTATAATAATTTAATAAAGATAGAGGAAGAAAATTAATTTATACTAAAGATGTCATCGTGATATCTAGAATTATATTTTTATTAAAGATATATTATCTATATTCCTTTATTCATTATATCAACTGAATCTATTAATGTAATTTTTTTCACCTAAAGTAGTAGTAAATTGTGCAAAGCTATATCTTTCCACTCATCTAGGATCAGACTCTTTTACAAACAATTCAAGAGTGCTCCAACAGCTATCTGGGAAATCAAACTCTACAATACCAGTAAAATAGTATACAAATAGTCCTCGACTTAGGACCACAATTGAGCCCAAAATTTATGTTGCTAAACAAGACAGTTAAGTAAATTTTGCCTCATTTTATGACCTTTCTTCCCACAGTTGTTAAGTGAATCACCGCAGTTATTAGGTTAGTAATACAGTTGATAAGTGAATCTGGCTTCCTCATTGACTTTGCTTGTCAGAAGGTTGCAAAAGGTGATCACATGACCCCAGGACACTGCAACCATCATAAATCAGTCAGTTGTCAAACATCTGAATTTTGATCCTGTGACCTTGGGGATGCTACAACAATCATGGTGTGATAACAGTCAAAAGTCACTTTTTCAGTGCCATTGTAACTTTGAATAGTCACTAAATGAGCTGTTGCAAGTTGAGGACTACCTGTATAAAGAATCACAAAAAAACCCCATACAATTAAACAGAACAAAAAAGCCTCAGAGGATTATCTCCCCCAAATGATGAAATGAATCTACAACATGGAACTTTATATTCTGATGTCATGCTTATTTAAATCCCAATTCCCTCACGAGTCAGTAATCAACAGTAGCACTTCTACCTGTCATTTCTCTGATAATTTCCAAACAGCACATAATACATTATCTCTGGACTAAACATTAGAGAATTATGATTAAGTTTATGATTGTTCACTGCCCAGGGTCATTTGTTTGAAATGGGCAGCTACAGAAATAAATATTTACTCTAGGCTCTGTAACCATGCAAAATCTGAGGAACAGTTTCTCATATAAGCTAGCATTGCAGAGATGCTGTTAAAAGGACTGCATATCACATTAATCAAAATACTAGTATGTACTAAATTTATTATGGCTTCCAAATTATGAGATGTTTGGAACCAGGTTTACAGCTGTCTTCCAAATTATGTTTAAATGCACTCTTTTCAAAGGTCAAGGAGCATGCTACTTTCTGCTCTCAAGTAAATTTACTCTAGAAGATGTCAAGCAGTTTCAGCTCAAACATAGTCCTTAACTTATGACTGTTGTTACTGGTTACTTAACTATTCAAAGTAATGATAGCCTCCAAGTCAGTTACAACCTAAATTCATACTTAAAAACTGCCCCCATGGTCATATGATCACAATTGGCATATTGGTCGATCACTTTGCAACCAGCTTACATTTATAACAGTTGCAGCTTCCTTTAGTCATGTGATTGTGATTTGGGAAGTTTTTTGCTGATTTCTAACAAAAAAACCACCATTAGTTAAGATGAATTTATACTTAGGAATTTGATGATTCCACTCTCAACTGTAGTAAAGTGGTCGTAAAAACGGATCTGATCATGTGGTAAGTTAGGATTACAACAACTTAATGGGAATTCCAGTCCCAATTGAGGTTGTAAGTCAAGGATTATACATATCTGTACTCACAGATACACGGAATACATGTATTCAAAACAAAAAAGGAGGCAGTATAGTCCTTAAGTGCCACTTGAGACAATTACTTTTTCTTAAGACATGTTGAGTTTAAGGAAATATCTATTTTAAGCATGCAGGCTCAGGTAACTTATTCACAAATAGACGCTGAAGCAAGCCATCAAAACTCATATAGATGATTTGTTTTATTCCTTACAAATCCTTCATCAGAACTCATCTTTTCCTTGAAGCGGTTGGCACAATACATTGATTCCTATGCCCAGTTACAACTTAGCTGTTAACCAAAGCATATGTATAACAAAATAATGCATATTTCTCTCATATATTCTGCTTTATCCCCCTCCTTCCTCTTGTTTCTCTAATAATATAGGGAGTCTCTGTGGGTATTACTCCGCTAGTTGTAGCTAGTTGTAGTGGTCATTTCTGCTTCTTTAAGCCATTGAGCCAGGGCTGTCTGAAGATGTTTCTGCAGTCATGTGGCCTGCATGACATCACATTGCAGCACAAAATGTACAACGAAACATGGAACATTGTTACCCCAATAACATAGTGGTTGCAAATTCCTCAGTGTGCAGAATGTGGATGAAGAAAAAAACTGACATAATTTAAAAACTGTACTGGGATTAGGATGCCCCTAGGTTCATACATCACACTAAATGTGGTCCTTTTTTGACTCAATACAAGTTATCCTTGTTCAGCAACTGCAATTGGTTCCAGTGACTCAATCATTAAGCAAAGCAGTCACTAAGTGAACAATCACATGATTTTTCTTTATTTTATTTTTCCTTTGCTTTGCAGAGTCGGAAACATACAACCCCTAAACAACTTGGTAAGCCCAAATGGCGGAGGTTTCCAGAACTTCACTCATGAGGAAGCCAGGTAAAAGGGAAATCTTCTAGCTTTCTCCTCCCCTTTGGAATGCTCACCCTGGGGCTGGGATAATTAGCAAGAAGAGAATTAATATTTGTATACATTCATTGGAAAAGATTACCTGAGAGTAACCAGATACACAACGCAGAATAGACATTGAAAGGAATGTGGTAGCGTTCTTGAGGCTGCAAAACGCCGGCCACTTAAGAGGCAAACAAAAGCCTTTAGCATGAAACTAATTAAGAGTCTTGTGTCAGACACAGCCTCAACTGGCCTGAAGGTTGTAATCAACTAATTAAGGCCACAGAGCTGAGCTTGTCAACCTGTGTGGTTAGCACTTTTTAGGGATGTGCTGCAGCACCGAGGAAAACAACTTAGGAACAGATAGCTTCTTCAGGCAATCTCTCAGAAGGGAAAAAATGGGGTCAGGTACAAGACAACAGGTACTAAGATGTAACTGAGAGATGCTGCAAAGCCTATGAATTCTGGCACTGGTCACAAAAATAATGGTTGCTGCCTAAAGCAGTCCCTAAATGAAGATTACCTGTACGGGAATCCAGCTGCTATTATCTGTAAACTAAGTTTTATGGGTGGTTGTTATTGTTTAAGTCACTAAATTATGTCCAATTCTTCATGAGCGCCCATGGACCACAGCACACCAGGCCTCCTTGTCCTCCACTGTCTCCTGGAGTTTGCCCCAAATGTTTTATGGGTACTATATATGAATCTACCCAATGGTGTACACCATATGTGAACATAGCCTATGATGTACAAGAGACAATCTTAATTGTTTTGAGGCATGTATGTTCTTACTAGACATCTGAGGGGTTTTAATTCAATCACATCAGAAGATTTTATCATTTGTAGGGAGAGTTCCACACATCAAGCACTTGGGTCATTTTTGATATAGGTAAATAAAGGTTTATATCTTGCTTAGGACAAAAACACTATTTGGTATCTAATTATTTGTCATTAGATATGAAGATAAAGAAAAATACTGCCTGGCAATTGCTTGCATGTACTGTATTAATGTAGGAGTGCTGATAACATTATCATAAAGCTGCAGTGTCCATAACGAAACTCAGTGATGTCAAAAGGTTACATGTGTCATAATGCAATCCCACTAAGAATACAATTTCATAATTTGTATAATCTTGTCATTTTCTCCCGTATCACTCAATTCTGGCCTTCTTCTGCCAACAAAAATGAATAGCGAATACAGGCACATATAACAGCTCTTTTTACACAAATTATTCCACAAACTTGGCATTAAAATCTTTATAAGGATCATAAGGGAATATCCATAACTCTCAATCTCACAACAATCACTCGCAGAGCAGTGAAAATGCTAAGCAAATGTGCCTGGCTGCAAACTGGGTGGAAAATTTATTTCAAAGCCAAACTAACATTTCATTGGCCTACAAATGTATTGTTTTCACATTATAATTGAGAAAGACTATTATCAGATTTCAAAATAAGAGTTTATATCAGACTCAATATTAGTGAGTTGCTTACAAAGCTGAAATTCATTCCACAGTCAATTCATTCAATTGAGTCATCCAATACTGATTGACTCAATTCCTATTTTTTCAATCATTTTAAAGGATAACTAGCTTAATTCATCATATCTGAGGAGAGTTTTTCTACAATTATATTACAATGCCACTTTTCCTGCCTAAATTTAAACTACTTAATTCTAATTTGATCATCATACCTGTACAGGTAATTGCAGGGCTTTTTTTCTCGGAGAAAAGGTGGCGGAACTCAAACCTGGCCACGCCCTCATCAAACCCTAGGACCGCCCCTTTAGAGAACAGGAATGCAAGTAAAATTTGGGAGGGGCTATTTCCGGTGCGGCCGGCCCGGAAAAAGGTGCCGGAACGCGGTTCCGCCGCGTTCCGGCTGAAAAAAAGCCCTGGGTAATTGTATACTAATAATACAATCATAGAAATCAAAACAATACTCAAAATGTTCAACAGTGGAGGAATGGAAAGGACAAAGCAAAGTAGCATTTAGCAGTGTTTGCAGGATTTGGCTGATTTTGATGTAATGGGGGGAAAAAACAGCTTCAGTGCTGCAACCTCTGCCCCTTTGGGCTATTCAAGCAATGTCACAACATATATAGAAAGAGGTGAGGCTTGCATCACAACACCACAATGCTGGGGGGTTTTTTGGTCTGACCCGTTTTGCATCTCCTGTGGGACATCTGTGGCATACCTGTATTCCTTGAACTACTTCAGAGTATTCTCTTCCTAGTTCTGAATCTATTCAGTTGCGTTAGCCAAACAAATATCTTATTTATGAATGAAGAGATGTTAGCTGAGCTATTCAAGATTACATTGAAACAA